TGTGGAGGGGCGAGGGGCACAGCAGGCCATGGGCGTGGGCGGCGCATGGGCGCAGACGCGGCGGGCGTGCGGCCAGGCAGCCCGGCGCCGTGCCGCGGCCCCTCCCTCACTCACTCCGTGCTCTGCGCCAGCATCTTGTTGATGCCCACGTTCATGTAGGTGCTGAGCCCCACCCCCTCCCTGCGCCCCAGCTCCGTGGGCTGCCCATCCTCGCCCACGATGCCTTGCGCTGCGGGCAGCGGGCGCGGCGCAGGCGCAGGGGCGAGGTGAGCCGCGGCAGGGCGTGCAAGCGGGAGGCGGGGGTGGGTGGGCGCCAGCTGCATCTGCTGCACACGCTGCGACAGGCGCAGCCACCCGCCCGGGGGCCCACGGCTCACCTTGCAGGCACTCCAGGAAGTGACCCTCAGCATACATGCCGTCGCTGCGCTGCCGGCCGCCGCCGCTGGTGCTGCTGTAATACCCGCGCTGGTAGTACCCGCCGCTGCCGCCGCTGCGCTGCTGCTGCTGCTGCTGCTGCTGTTGCTGCTGCTGCTGCTGCTGCTGTGACGCCCCCCCCGCCGCGCCTCCCACCCTGCCGCTGCCTCCGCGGCCGCCACCGGACGCCGGCTGCTGCCATTCGTACTCCCCATCCGGCTCCGCATCGCTCGAGTAGGAGGACAGGCTGGCACGCCCGCTGCCAGCGCCCGCCGACGCGCCGCCGCCGCCGCCGCCGCCGCCCTGGCCCTGCTGCTGGCGCTGCTGCTGGTTCAGGTCCTGACGCAGCGAGCGCAGCGTGTGCTGGCGCCACTGGCGCCGCTGCTGGCGCAGGCCCTCGTCATCCTCCTCGCCGCCGGCATAGGCGGCGCCGCCGTTTGCGCCGCCGCTGCGGGGCTGTGCGAGGGAGGCGTCCCCGCTGCTGGACGGTGGCTGGCGTGGCTGCGAGGCCCACAGACCCTGCTGCTGCTGCTGCTGCTGCTGGTCCTGCTCCGCCCCGCCCCTGCCACGCTGCTGGGAGCGGGCGGAGCGCTGGGGGCTGGTCTGCCACCGCCACTTGCCGCCGTTGCTGCCCGGTTGGGGGCTGGGCTGCCGGCGGGACTGCTGTGGGCGTGCCTGCTGCGGCACTGCCTTGCGCAGGCCGGCCGTCTCCCTGCCGCCGCTGCTGCCAGCGGGCAGCTCAGGGTCGGCGGGTGCTGCAGCAGCAGAGGCCACGACCACACGCCCGCCGCCGCCGCCGCCGCGCCTGCAGCAGGCGAGCGACAGCGTGCTGAGCTGCAGCGGTGTCGGCGGGCGGGTGCCTCAGGCTCAGGCAGCTTTGCCACCACTCACCTGTCGGTGCGGAGCAGCGCGGGGCGCAGGCCCACGGCCACCACCCCCATTCGCCAGCTGAAGAGAGATCGGGCTACTACTGCGTCATCATTGAGCGGGCTGCTAGTGCTCTACTTCTGTCTGGCTGCCAGCCCTCACTGCCGCTGCCAGGCTCCCAATATATCCTGCTAAGGAATGGCAGCTCACCCAGCGCTCTGAGACGCTGTCAATATTGCTATTGATTGTGCACAAGACAATGTAAGGGGGGCATGTGCCTCAGGGTGCCGGTGCCATTCGACTTGGGCAACGCCGACCCAGGCCAAGCCCAGCCTGCTCCCGCATGGTGGTAGCACTCTCGGGGACCTCCGGTTGCCCTTCGATCTTTGTGTGGAGTCAATCGGATCAGGATGCAGGCAGCTATCGCGGCGGAGCGTGTGTGTGTGGCCAGGGGCCCGGCTGCCCGCCCCACGGCGCAGCCCCGCGGCCTCCCCGCAGCAGCAGCAGCCCCCAAGGTGATTGTGGGGGCCTGCCGGACGACAATGCGCGTGCTGGCAGCGCTGCCGGCACAGCCCCAGTGTCGATGGACCAGAGCACTGTTGCCATGTGCAGGCCCGCTCCAGCGTGCTGGCCAGGGCGGCCACCGAGGAGGTGAAGACCGCCGGCACCAATGGCGCGCCCCTGAAGCCCGCCACGGCCGCCATGGATTTTGACGAGCTGACGGAGCTGATCAAGTGAGGGGCGCTGCCGCCCGCCCGCCAGAATGGGCGGCGCCAGGGCTGGGGAGCAGCGCCAGGCAGGGCAGCGGGCTCGGCGGGGGTCCAAGGCTGGGGGTGCGAGGGTGGGCGCTGCGGCAGCTGCGCTCCTTTACGCGTCCCAGCGGCTGGCCGTCTCCCCGCTGGTGGGCGCCGTTATGCTGGGCTGGGCATCACGGGCCGTGGCCCCGCCTGCCCTCCCCCCCGCCCAGGATGGTGCACTCCACCGACATTGTGGAGCTGGAGCTGAACAGCAAGAAGTTCAGGCTGTCGGTGAAGAAGAAGGAGGCGCTGGAGGCGGCGGAGCCGCAGATCATCCACATGCAGGCCCCCGCAGCAGGCTACGCCGCAGCGCCGCAGCCCATGGCCATGCCCGCCCCCGCGCCCGCCCCGGCGGCCGCCCCCGCGGCGCCCGCCCCCGCCGCCGCCGCGCCCAAGCCCGCGGCGCCCGCGGCCGTGGACGGCCTGGAGGTTGTGTCCCCCATGGCGGGCACCCTGTACCGCTCCCCCGCCCCTGGCGAGCCGGCGTTTGTCAAGGTGGGTTGCTGGGTGGGTGGGTGGCAGCGAGAGATGGCCAGGGCCTGGGAGGGCTGCTGGCGGCCTGGGCTGCGCAGCTGGCGGGCCGTGCGCTTGCCTCGCAGCCACCGCCGCCCCGCTGCCTCTGCCTGCAGGAGGGCGACAGCGTGACCAAGGGCCAGGTCATCTGCATCGTGGAAGGTGAGCCCTGGCAGCCTGGGTGGCAGGCAGGCGCCAGGAGGCTGCTGCTGATGGCGGCGGGGCGGGGGGCGCGGCTCCAGACACCCCAGCCCGGTACTCCCCACTTACCCCCCACTTACCCCCACTGACATGGTTGTTTGGTGCCCGTGTCCCCTGGCTGCATTACCTACGAGCAGCGATGAAGGTGAGGCGGGAGGCAGCGGGAGGCGAGCGAGGCAGTGGCGGGCGTGCCAAACGACATCCCAGCCTGCTTTGGCGCTGCTGCTGCTCCCACTGACATTCCTGTTTCTTTCTTTCGCCCCCCCCCCGCTTGCATGATGTACGAGCAGCTGATGAACACGATAGAGTGCGCCGCACATTGACCGAGGGGGCAGGCCTGGCATGGCCTGGGGATGCGCCGCTCCGCTGCGGGGGGGTGGCTGGGGCAGCCTGGGGCAGGTCCCCCGTCTCCTGAAGGGGTGCACCCACCCCCCTGAGATGCTGCCCACCGCTGATCCCCCGCCCTGCTTGACCGGCTGCGCCGCGCAGGGCGGAGACCTCCGGCACCGTGGTCAAGATCCTGGCCAGCGACGGCGACGCCGTGCTGCCGGGTACGTGCCGCTGCCCGCCGGGGTGCTGGCCGTGTGGCGACATGCCTTGCTGTTGCGGGTGTTTTGTGCAGCTGGCTGGGCGAGGGAGACTCTGCCGCCCTCCCCTTGCCGCCAACTACCGCTGGCCTGCCCTTCGCTCTGCAGGCCAGCCTCTGATGGTCATCAGGCCCTGATCCTGCCTCCGCCTGCACTGACCGCACGGCTGGAGGAGCAGCCGCAGCCCGCCACTGCCGGCCCCCAGTTATGGCCACCCCAGCCCCCGCTCACCCATTGTTCTCTTTCGCTGTATACCTGCTTTCCTCTCCCCTCCACTCGCCGCCCTGCTGCTTTGCCTCCCCGAGTTGTCACACATGAGTCGCCCATCCCTGCTCTTGTCCTGCCCCTTCTTTTTCTGCACTGCTCGGCTGACCCGAACATTCACTTGGACAGAAAATCTGTGAGCACAAATGCTTCTGGCAGGGTAAGCTTGAGGTGGCTGCTGCTTACCGGTGTGACGGCAGCGGTGTGGCAAGAAACAAAGAAGGCAGAGTAGGGGGTGGGCAAGGACAGTGCTGGCAAGTGCTGGGGAGTGCAATATATTCAAGGTTGGCAGCGGCAGGCAAGTGCGCCATCGTGTGGAGGTTGGAGAGCCCGGCGTGCCGCAACAAGGGGTCCTTGGATCGGCAGGCGCTGCAGCGCCCCGCCCCTGCGGTCACCTCAGGTCCAGCTCTACAAGGGGCGTGCTGTCCAGGCTGGGGGCGTCCAGGCAGCACTGCAGGCGGCAGTCGTGGCAGTAGAAGAGGTGGATGGCTCGGTCCTCCTGCAGCTCGTCTGAGAACACGTCCGAGTCGACGCGCCCCACATAGGCCATGGCGCCGCGGCAGCGCAGGCAGGTGGGGGTGTCGCCGGGGTCCAGCGCCGCGGGCTGGCCGCCCACATACACCGCCGGCGCGTCGTGGTACCCCTCCTCGTCAACGCTGTCCTCACTGGCCTCCTGCATGCGGGTCAGCACAGAGCGGCCGGTGTGAAACCATGTGCCCAGCACCACGGTGACGGTTCCGCCCATGCAGCCCATGCAACATGATACGCTGGGAGGGCCACGACTGGCAGCAGCAGCCGGCAGCCCCCAGACCTGCGCAATGTACTCGACAAACCCGGGGCTGACGGGCCGCTCCGATGAGCCGCCGCCGTCTGCCTCTCCGGCAAAGTCGAGCCAGTCGGGGCTTGGGTGCTGCGCAGTGCCAAGGTACTCAAGCTGCCCGGTGCTGTGTACCCGGAAGAAGGCTGCACAAACAGGCCAGAAGGGCAGGGCTTTGCATTGGCTGCGACCACATCACAATGCTCCTGCTTGGCCGCAGCAGGAAGGGCATGGGTTCCAGGAGCAGAGTGGTACGGGCAGCAGCAAACCCGCTCACCTCCCCCTTCTCTCAATCCTCCATACACCCACTGCAGCCGCTGCCCGGCCCAGAGCGGCTGCAACAAGCCGCCTTCAATGGATACAAGGGGCGTGAAGCTGCCAAAGGCCTCGCGCTGCTGCCGCACAAAAACATCGGCGGGGTAGCTGCAAGGATATGCCCGCACCATGGCAAAAACCCTAAACCCTAAAAAACCTGGAAATGGTTGCACAGCAACGGTGCGGCAGAAAGCCCTTCCGCACCTGCCGACCTCGTGCACCGTCACGTGGGCGCAGAAGTAGCCTCTATAGCGTGGCAATGGATCTGGGTCTGACCGCAAGATTGGATTGCCCATGGGACTACCGCTGCTGTTGCCGCCGCTCCTTGTTGCCCGCAGCCAGCCAGTTGCCGCTCCTGCCAGGCCGCCTGTGGCGAGCGCACAGGCCCAAGCTGCACACGCCTCTCGGTGTGTATCGATCCGGACCCGCCTCCTCTGCACAGCTTCCGGTTTACAGCAGCAGCAGGAGAGAACAAGGAGATGGAACCTGGGTTTGTCGGAGGCAACGCAGAACTGCGAGCACTAATGTGGGCGGCAGTTTCCAGGCATGTATGTGCGATGGCTGCGACTCACCCCGCCTGAAACTTGGAGCTGCTCTCGGAACGCGACACCTGGCGCTTGCAAGTCCCAATCGGCACAGGCAGGTGGTGGGCGCCGACACCCAGGACGGCGACCTTTGCGGCGCCCGTTGCGCTATGACACGAGCTCTACCCCTGATCTGAAGCATCTGTGTTCTGCCAGAGCGCCACGAGAGTCGGTGGGCGGCGATTGCGCAATGCAAGCTGCCGCGGTGCATGCCCCTGCCAGGCTTCCTGGGGCGGTACGGTGCTTGCACCAACCCAGCAGCAACACGAGCAGCAGCAGCAGCGGGCCAGGCAAGAAGCGAGCCGCTGCTCAACCGCAACAAAAGGTGCTGCCCCGCTCGCTCTGGGCTACCGCTTGGCCGTCATGATGCTGGAACACATCGTGGTGGCAAGCGCAGCTCCCAGATGATCTGGCCTGCCTCTGCAGGTGCCGCCCGCCAACGGCGCCACTCCCGTGCCCGTGGCGGCCATTGACGTCCCCGTGCTGCCATCCCCTCCGCCGGACAACAGCCACAATGGAGTGCAGCTGGTCGACGGCCCAGTGCCAGAGCAGCTGCGCCTGAAGCAGGTCGTGGCTCCCTCACCACCCAAAACGCAGCCTGCCCAAGCACCGACGATTTTCGTCGCCCGCCCGCTGCCGCGCGTGCTGCTGCTGCACTGCGGCGGCACCATGGGCATGGATGCGCAGGAGAGCTTCAAGCAAGACGTGGAGGCAAGTCGCGGGCGCCTGTTGGATGCGGGAAAAACCGGCACCTGAGGCGCAACGCCCACCACCGCAGCAGCCTTCCAATGCCGCAGGGCCACATGGTGCTGAAGCCGGGGACGGGGGGCAAGTACCACCAGCCCGGCAAGTCGGAGGCCTTGAAGCCGGGGAAGATGCTGGGCAGCCTGCTCAACATGGTGCCGGAGCTGAAGGCCTTTGCCTCGCTGGACCTCCGTGTGGCGTTCAACATGGGTGGGCGGCTGGGCATGGAGCTGCAGATGCAGGAAGCTGCTGCATTTGTTGTCCCTCGCGCACGCTTGTCTGTCGCTGCACTGGGCCCAGCGATGGTGCCTTCTCCCCCCCTGGCGTGTGTTCAGACAGCAGCAACGTGGGGCCCAAGCAGTGGGTGCAGCTGGCGCGCATCCTGGATGCCAACCGAGACGATTACGACGCTTTTCTGATAGCGCACGGCACCGACACGCTGTCGTGAGTGTGCCCGCATGCCAGCCCGGCAGCGACACAGGGCAGCAACCATTGGCATGATGCCTGCGGCAGCTGTGCCATGCACGCGACCAGCATGCCCCTCAGCTGCGCCACGTGAGTCTGGTTGCTGCGCTGTCGCCGCTCTCCTGCCGCCTGCCTGGCAACAGGTACACGGCTTCGGCGCTGAGCCTGATGCTGGCTGGATTCAAGGTGAACATGGGCAGCCAGCCCAGGCCTGGCCGCGGTGCTGGGGCTTGGGTTGGTGCATCACGCATCCCGCTCATGCGATGTCTGCAAAGCATCGGCCACCGCGCTCCCCTCTGCGCTCCCCGCCGCCGCAGAAGCCCATTGTGGTGACGGGGTCGCAGCTGCCGCTGGCGCTGCCACGCTCGGACGCGCGGCAGAACCTGCTGGACTCGCTGTGCTGCGCGACGGCCGCCTTCAGCCCGCCCCACGTCCACCTGCAAGAGGTGGCGCTGTGCTTCGGCGGCCGCCTCATGCGCGGCAACCGCTCGCAGAAGACCAACAGCTCCGCCTACCAGGTGGGTGGCGGGGCGCGGGGCGGCAGGCATCCTCCCACAGCAGCAGCGCCACCTACCGCTCCCTGGCGTGCTGTCTGTGCTGCGCTGCAGGCCTTTGACTCCCCCAACTACCCCTACCTGGCGCAAATGGGGGTGGATGTCAGCTGGAACTCGCGCGCGCTGCTCAACGTGAGCATTTCACTCGGGCGGCGTGCGCCCGGATCCTTGCGCCGCTCACATGAAATGCCAGCTAGGGACCTCACCGCTTCCTGCCTGTGCCCGCCCGCCTCCCCTGCCCTCCCTCCCCCGCAGGTGGACACCGTGTACCGCCCCCGCTTCAATCTGGACCCACGAGTCATCAGGGTGCGGGGCCCCACCCAGCCTGCCAGCCTGGGGCGGACGCCCTCCCAGCACGTGACACATCGCCGCGCTGCCTGTGCGCCCAGCCTCGCTGGCGCCAGGCCAGGCCACCACACAGTGAGCACCGCTGGCTCCACCCCCGCGCCTGCCGCAGGTGCCCATCATCCCCGGCAGCGACCCGCGTGTCATGTATGGCGACGTGGCGGCGCGGGGGGTGAAGGGCATGGTGCTGGAGGCCTTTGGCGTGGGTGAGCAGGGGAGGAGGCTGCAGGGCGCACGCACCTGGTGTTTCTAAAGGAACCGGAGCCGTGCCCAATTGCAAGGAGCTGCCAAGCGGCTTGCTGTGGATCTGCGGGGCCTGGATGCACTGGCGGGGGGTGGCCATGTATGCATGATCTTCAGAACCCTCACGCCCCCGCCCCTCTGGTCCGCTCTGCAGGAAACATGCCCGACCGTGCGGAGACGGGGTGGCTGCCGTGGCTGCGGGAGCAGCGCAAGAAGGGCATGCTGGTGTACCTGGGCAGCCAGTGCGCCGTGGGACCGCTGCACCCGGAGCTGTGTGAGAGGCGCCGCCGCAGCTAGCCTGCAGCAGCTGCAGCCACGTTTACAGTTGGCTGGTGCCAGTAGCTGCGTTGTGCGTGTTTGGGAGCGTGCCGCTGGCCGGGCCTGGCCAAGCCTGCCATCCCAATGCTACCTCACTCTTCGCCGTCACCCTCGCCGCTGCAGACAAGTCGGGTTCCGCCGCCCTCAAGCTGGGCGTCGAGTCTGGGCCGCAGATGACGCCAGAGTGCGCTGTGGTCAAGCTCATGCTGTGCCTGGCGTACCGTGACCTGCCGCTGGGGATGCCGTTGGCTGGGGAGCTGTGAGCAGGCGCTGCCCACCCCAAAACCGCAGCCCTGTCATGTACCTGAGCTACTTCTTTTGATGCATTGACCGCTGATCACTGATTGCTGATCCGCTTGCACCAGCAGCCAGGTAGCCATTGCACCAGGCTGGCCACCCATGCGGCCCTCATTATGTTTCCCTCCTTGCGCGCTCTTTACGACAATTTCAGTCCTCTCTTTCAGAATGAACTGTGAAAATTGCAGCGTTGTACAGGACCATCCACGCGGGGTGCTGGCCTGGGCCCCCGCCGCGTCACCTGCGCTTGGCCTTGGGCTTGCTGCTGCCGACTGCGGCGCTGATCTTGTTCCAGGCGTGGAGGAGGCAGAGGAAGGGCACCACGATCCAGATGGCGTTGATGAGCACAAAGTAGAACCAGAAGTAGAGGGGCTCGGGGCGGGAGTGGATGAAGCCTGCCGGGAGGCGTGGGGCGAGGGCCCGAGGCAGCACACACAGGTTGGCGGCCATGGTCGGGCAGGCAAATTTCGAGGCTGGACCAGCAGGGCGGCGCCCGCCTCACTCAGCAAGCCAAGCTCCCTGCACAGCCTCGCTGCCACGCTGCCGCCCCGGCCCGCGCACCCACCCTCCAGGAAGCAGGTGCCGTAGTAGAGCACGTCGCCATAGATCTGGCCCACCGACACCACCGCCATCAGCGTGTAGCGCCAGGGCTTGACGGCGAAGATGGCGTGCACCAGCAGCGGGCACAGCGGGCCCCACAAAAAGGCGGTGATGGCCTCCATGGAGATGATGAAGGAGTCGCGGGAGGCGTAGCGGCTGTCCGCCTTGCTGTACTCCTTCCCTGCACGCAGGTGCGGGTGGGGTGGTGGGGCAGGGAGCGGGAGGTCGGGGGCTGGGCAGGGGAGGAGCCTGGTGGGGCGGGAGCGGCCAGCGGAAGGGCTGGCGGGCACGTCGTGAACCTGGGTCGCGTGAAGGCGGGTCCCCCACATGCCCACCCCTACCATCCCCAAACTCACATGTGTCTGACAGGTAGTTGCCCGATGCATCCTGGTAGAAGTCTGCCTTGGCCACCACCCAGCCCTCAATCACAAAGTGGATCAGCCCCGTCACCATGAACCAGCACGCCAGCAGGCGCTCGGTGGTGGTCAGGTGCTTGTGACGCCCTGCAGGCAGCAGCGCGGGAGGTCGCGAGGGATGCTGGCCAGCGCGGCAACGGGGGCGCCGTGCAACGGGATGCACCGCACCACGCCGGCAGGTTGAGCGGCGGGTGGGCCGCCCTCAGCCAGACGTGTTTGCAATGGCAACGTCGAGGCGCTGCACTGCACCCACCTGACAGCACCCATGTGCCGGCAAAAACCAGCACCACGGCTGCGAAGAAGACTCCCAGGATGTAGACAAAGTCCACTTGCAGCGGCACATACTCGGGAAGGTGCAGGTCGAGCGGGAAGTAGGGGTGGGCGCGGACCGTCATGGCTGGGGCGCCGCCAAGATGCCTGGCGCAGCCTGCCAGGTGGCAGCATTGCCTGGGTATGGGGCTCGGCAAGCATCATCGCCTGGTCGACGCCATGGCAGCAGGTCGGCTGGCGGCACCAGCGGCGGCGGCAGCCCAACTGCCAATGCACACCCCGCTCCGATCCAGGGGCCGATGTGCGATCAGACTTGCCTGGTATTGACGGAGGGGGCCTCTCCTGCAGCGCTGGGTGTGTGATGACAACGGGTGACGCTCGTGCACGCTGCCCCGCTGGGATCAGATTGAATGTGAAAATTGTCGATTGAGCCAGCTCGATCGACTGCATGACCTGCCTCAGTGCGCCGTTGTGAGCGCGAGGCCGCCATAGTACTGCATTTCTGTACTTCGAGGCGTGGCCAGCTGGTTTGTGGCTCCCAGGAGCTCGATCGCCATCGCTTGCTGATAAGCATCCAGGAAGCGCCTTGGAAGAGCGCCCACGAATCCATTTCTGGGCCACACCATTCTCTTCTCGCACCAGCACCGATCCCCGAGTGCTGTGCCTCGTCAGGGAGGTCCAGCATCGCCTGTGCCACCGACCCAGCACCGCCAGCAGGGTGTTGTGGCACTTGGCAGCTGGCGGCAGGCGTCAAGAAGACCGTCAGCCGGCTGAGGACGGTTTGCGCCAGTGCCCTGCCTGGAGGCATTGCCGGTGGAACCTGGGCATCTAGCCTTGGCTAGGCTGGGCCGAGGCAGCTGCGCCTGTCGACCTGCAGCATGGGCAAACGCCAGAAGGCGGTGGCGGCCTCCAAGGAGGCGTCAGCCGAGCCGCTTCTGGACCTGCATCCGCCGGCGCAGGTCCGCAAGGGCGGCACCGCCAAGTTCAAGAAAGGTGGGCAGGCGGGGTAGCCGAGGAACAGGAGCGAGGGATCCAGGCCAGGCCACGCGCTCAAGCTCCCCAGTCTGGTCCAGCCTAATCCGCTGCTAACCTGGGCTGGCTTTGCCCCTGGCTGCAGGCTCCAAGGTGCTGGTGCCCCACACCGACCAGTACTATGCCGCGGTGGTGATGCAGGGCCACAAGCGCCCAGAGGGGCAGTACTACCTGCTGCACTACGAGGGTGGGTGCTCGCCGCAGTCGGCCGCTGGCCGTGCGGCGCCCGCTCCGCTGCACTTTCGTCTCCTGCCTCCCGTTGCCCGTCCCCACATTCGCCGGCCACCCTGCCACCGCGTGCCCCTCCCGCCTGCCCTGCCCAGGCTGGAGCAACAAGTACAACGAGTGGGTGGAGGAGGCGGGGGTGGTGCGCTTCGACCGCTCGCTGCTGGAGCAGTCGGCGGCGGCGGCAGGCAACGAGCCGGGCGACCTGACGGGGCGCAAGCGGCGCGCCGACATCGCCCCCGTGGAGCCGGCCCTGGCTGTGGAGATCCCGCAGCACCTGCGCCTCCACATCCCTCCCCTGCTCAAGAAGGTGGTGCTGGATGACAGCGTGCAGGTGGGGTGTGGGTGGGGGGTGCAGGGGGTGCAGGGGGCGCAGGGGGCCGAGGTGTGGCTGACAGGGAGCCGGGGCGGCGAGGCCGAGTGCATGGTCGCACCGTGCAGGCTGGTGGTGCCTTTCCCCATGCCGCCGGGCCTGCGCCAGCACCCATCACTGTGTGCCTGGCATGCCGCGCAGGTCAACGTCAGCGGCAAGCTGCTGCCGCTGCCCCGCAGCGCGCATGGCCGCCCCACCATCAGCGACATCCTTAAGGTGGGCTGGCTGGCTGGCTGGCTGGCTGGCTGCCGGCCAGACCCGCTGCGGCCTCTTCCATGCCGCCATGCAGCGGGAACTGCATCAGCACCAGCCCCTCTGCCCAACTGCTCGGCGCGCCCCCCCCCCCCGCCCGCCCTCCTGCAGGAGTACGAGGCGCAGGTGGCAAAGGAGGTGCCCGAGGGAGAGCAGCAGGACCCGCAGGCAAGGCCCAGGGCGCAGAGCGGGGTGGCACCCAGGGTGCCACATCGGCCGCCCTGCTGTGCCCCGCATGCACCCCTGCCCTGCCATCCCCAGCCTGCCGCTCACTCTGCAGCCGCTGTGGGCAGCGCGGCGCCGGCCGCGCTCCGTGCACCCGGCGACGGCCTGACGCTATGCCCTGCCCACGCCTGCCGCGTATGACGCACAGATTGGCGAGGCGGTGAGCGAGATGGTGCTCGGCGTGCGGCAGTACTTTGACCAGGGCCTGCGCCACTTCCTGCTGTATCCGCACGAGGTGCAGCAGGCAGACGAGGCGCTGGGCGGCGGCGGCGGCGGCGGCGCGGCAGCCACTCCACCCAAGCAAGGTGGGGCCCTCTGCGCGCGGCAAAGCGCGTGCAGGCAGGGGCGGGAGAGCCGGGGGCGAGTGGGGTGCTCTGGGTGCACCGCCACTCGTGACACCTGCTGCCGCGCCTGCCAGCGCCTGCTGCCGCGCCCTGCTGCTGCCTGCTGGATCCACACCGCGGCTGCGCCGTGCGCCCGTGCAGAGGGTGGCGGCAGCACAGGCGGCGGCGCCACAGGGGCCAAAGGCGGCGGCGGCGGCGGCGGCGGCGGCGTGGCGGCGCCCCGCACCCCCTGCGACCTGTACGGCGCCGAGCACCTTGTGCGCCTGTTTGTCAAGCTGCCGGACCTGGTGCCTGTGGCCTACATGACGCCGCCGGTGAGAGAGCCGGCGGCGGCAGTGGCTGTGGGGGCCAGGGGCGGGTGTGTTCTGGCGCGGCGAGGGCTCTCCTGGCTGGCAGGCCCTTGCTCAGCGTCGAGGGGCGGGCAGCCATGGGATGTTTGCGGCTGGCTGGGCCCACTCCCGCCCCGCCTGCGGCACCCCCGCCTGCGCCCCCGCAGGATGTGGTGCGGCTGGAGCAGCAGCTGCACGACTTGGTGGCGCGCATGACGGAAGTGCGGCGCCAGGCCCGCTACTTCTCCCTGCCAGAAGAGTACCAGCCCAACCCCCACTTCACCGCCCTGCTGAACCTGCCCCTGCAAACACTTGTCGGTGCGGGCGGCGGCGGCGGCACCCCAGGCCCTGGGCAGGGCGCCGCGGCGGCGGGAGGAGCGGCAGAGCCCTCGCCGGGAGGGACGGGCGGCGAGGGCGGTGCAGAGGACATGGAGCAGGACTGACTGGTCCAGTACCAGTTCCAATGCTACTGACGGAAGGAATCATCGGAATGTTGTAAACATTGCATGGCATGGCGTGCGCTTGGCGGCATCCCGCGTGGCTGCCAGCGAGCTCACCAAAGGTGCATGCATGCCGCCGGTGCCCGCCTTGTACTGGCCTGTAGCACTCTCCAGACCACGCCAGTGGAACACAGCCCTGCACCCACACGCAGAATGCCCAGAGGCGATGCAGCGCGCCGCCGCAAGAAGGCTCAGGAGAGGGCGCTGCTTCTGAAGGGCAAGGTATTCACTGGCTTGCCTCTGCAGGGGTGCAGGCCCTGCCTTGAAGCCGGCACGTGTGCCTGACATGCCGCCGCCCAATTCGTTACCTGCAGCAAGTGCTGGCCGCTCCAGAGAAGAAGACGAAGAAGGCCGATGATGGCATGACGGCCGCCATGCGCAAGATGCTTCAGCTGAAAGCGGCGGCGGCAGCGGCCAAGGGCAAGTCGGCGGCGCACCTTGGCACCAACGGCGCGCGGCCAGCACCGGGCGTGCAGGTTGCCAGAGGGCAGGGTGCAGGGCACCAGCAGCAGGACCGCCAGCAGCACGCGCAGCAGCCGGCGCAGCAGCAGCAGCAGCGGGATGCGACGGGCACGCTGGTGCAGGGCGCCAAGGCCGCGCCCCTGCCGCAGGCGAGCACGCAGCAGCAGCAGTCGGTGTTCCAGCCGAAAGGTCTGAAAGGGACGAAGAAGGCGTACCTGAAACAGAAGAAGCTGAAGAAGAAGGGCAGGCACATGGAGGCAGAGATGACGGAGGGAGAGGCGGCGCTGGCGGCGCAAGCGGCAGCCAGCCGGCCTGCCTTTGGCGAGCAGGCACACGCGCCGCTGAAAGTGCAGCTGAAGCGCAAGCACTGGGCGGGGGAGGGCACGGAGAAGCAGGCGGCGTCGCGGCGCTGCACCGCGATTTTCGAGCGCCAGATGGCTGCCGCTCGCGTGGCGTCAGCGGCGGTGGCATTGGACGATGGCCTGGCGCGGCAGCAGCAGCCGCAGGCGCAGCGCCAGGCGGGCAAGAAGGCTGGCAAGAAGCCGCAGTAGCAGCAGCCGCCCGATGAGGGGCTGCGGCAGCAGCTGGTGGAGGCCTACCGCCAGCAGAAGCAGGCGCGGCTGGAGGCGGCGGGCAAGGTGCCCGCGCTGGCGGCGACCACGCAATCCTTGGCGGCGCTGGTGCGCAAGGATGCTGGCAAGGCCGCCTTTCACTGATGCAGTCCTTCGATCTATCGTACGATCCCCCTGCCCCTCCCTATCCCTCTGTAAATTAACTTCACGTGTGTCACGGTTGGCGCCCTGGCGGCAGTGACGGGGCACAGCGCTGCAGGCACAGCGCTGCAGCATTTTGTTCATGTTCGTCGCCGCATGTATTGGGCTTGGTTCAGTTCACCACTGTGCTCAACTCCGTGCCTTTGGCTTGCGCTCGAAGAATGAAGCCCACTTCCCGGCAGGGCTCTAGAGGGGCGGGTTTGCTGTGGCTGGGCGTGTTTTATGTAGTGAGCGATTGCATCGCCTCAGTGCGCTTCGCCTCAGGTGTGGATCTGCCAGACAGGGAGGAGGACGGCGCCGCCGGGGGTGGCGGCGGTGCCAGCAGCAGCGCGACTGGCCGCGGCAGGGGCAGCAGCACTACCAGCATAGCTGACAGCACCAAAGGGAGCAGGGCCATCCTGATTGACAAGGCATCGCTGCGGTTCTTCAAGTTTGGCAGAGGAGAGCTGGTCCTTCTGAAGTAAGTAAGTTCGGTCCTGCGGCACTGTCCCGCTCCGCTCGTCACGCATGGCATGGCACAACCGTGGTTGGTGGCCCCTGCAGGTCTCCTGAGGAGCCATCGCGGCGTCTTGTGCGACGCATGATTGGCCTAGAAGGCGACTGGGTGTCGGTGGCTGGAGGAAAGGTGGAGCGTGTGCCCAAGGTGGGCATGGCGCCGACGTGCCGCTTTGGTGCCGGTGCAGCAGCTGCTGGCGCATGCCCTGCCTGCCATGCAACTGCCATTGCGGCCCTGGTGTGCAGGGGGCGTGCTGGCTGGAGGCTGACAGCATCAAGGCGCCCGGTGGCGACTCTCGGGTAGCCTGGGGCCCCGTGCCGCTGGCGCTGATAGAGGGCAGGTGTGTGCCAGGGCCTGCTGTCCCTTCCAATCACGTCATGACTTGATGCCGCTGCTGCCTCCTATCCAGCAGGCATGTGGCTGGAGTGGAGGCACTCCAATACCAATGCATGTCGCCTGCCTGATGCCCCTGTCGGCCCGCCTGCAGGGTCAGCCGCGTGCTGTGGCCTCCTGCGCGCTGGGGCCCGCTGTCTCCACAGCTCAGCACCTCTGGCACGCGGGTGGTGGGCAAGGCAGGGAGCCTGGAGTTTTTGACGCCGCCGGCAGAGGAAGATGACTGGTGGGCCTGAGTTGATAGCCACTCCTTGACTGCATTTTTCTTCTCAGTGAGACATCTCACCGCCCCTTCACCTGCTTGTCCACCCCCTGACGTGGTGCACCTTTGCTTATTGTTTTCTGCCACTTAAAACAAGGTCGTTTCAACAGAGCAACATGTAAGCTAGTGGGATGGGCATGCGTGAATCAGGGATGGCCGAGGGGCTCTGGGAGCGGCGGTGCAGAAGGGTACAAGCCAGCCATCTGGAAGGGTGCCCAAAGAATGCATGACTGAGACCAGTCAATGCATGTACTACAAGGGTATGCAAATGGGGAGGCAGGAAGAGCAACAACATTGGCAAGCAGGATGCAAGGGCGTCACATGGTCAGAGTCATCATCAGAACATGAAGAAAGAGGGGGAACAAAATTGAGGCAAATCGAATCGCGCTGCTGTCTACAGGTGGTATGTGTGTGCAGGGGCATCTGTCGAGCGCCTGCTGTCTCATGCTGTTGGGGTGCTTCAATGGCGTGGCTGTCAGGGACTTATGCTACAGTGCCAGGCTGCCTGTCAACTGGCAGCCGCCGGCGTCTGACTGAGAGAGTGTGTTGGTATCCGAAGGCTGCCGCAGTGGTGTACCGTATGGTGAAGCTGAGCTGGCAGGCTGCTTTGCTCAATCGGTGTCCCGCAGCTTCATGCAGGTCATGCGGGCATGCAGCGGGGACTGTGGCGGTGGCCGCATCGGCAGCGGCGACGCCGCCGCTACGTCGTGGCTGCTGCCGGCGGTGGCGCTGCAGAAGCTGCCGAAGCGGAAGGGCGGTGGCAGTGCGCCGCACGCGGCGCCAGCTGTCTCCGCCTCCGCCGACGACATAGCCGCCGCCACCAGCGCCTTGGCAGCCGCGTCCGCCAGGCCTGCCGCCACCGTGGCCGCCGCCTCGCGGCCGAGCGTGCTGCTGCTGCGCTGCAAGATGCGTGGGAGGCCCGGGGGCAGGTCGCCGGCGGCGCCTGCGGGGGAGGTGGGGTCCGAGTCGGGCATGATGTGGCGCGACTTGCCCAGCGGCTGCATGCCGTCAATGCTGCTGGCCACAGAGTTGTCGCGGGACAGCGCCGCAATCAGGGTGCGCCGCGAGCTGTGCTGGCGCTTGCGCAGGCCGCGGCCCGCCGCCGGCGGCGGCGGCGGCGGCGGCACCGCGCCCGCGGCGCCCGCGCCCGCGCCGGCGCCGGCGCCGCCCGGCGCCTGCTCGGCAAAGTTGTGTGTGAAGCGCTGCGCCGCCATGGCCGCCAGCGAGTCTGCGCGGGAGGGCGGCTTGCTGCAGGCGGAGGCCTCCAGGTGCAGCTGAGAGCCCCAGGAGTCCAGGGTGGGGAAGCGGCGCACGCTCATGGCGCGGGAGGGCAGGCTGGCGGCGTCTGCAGGCAGGGTGGGGCGCACAAGCGAGCAGGCGCGCCGGGGGTCAGCGCCTCTGCCTGCTGCGCGGGCATTGGCGCTACTGCCGGGCCGCGGCCCTGAGCCGGCACAAAGCACGGCGCTGCCGCGCGGCAGCTGGGCGGCGGCGGTGCCCCCGGCAGCGCACCGTCCAGGCTGCTGGAGCGTGAGAGGGAGTCTGGGGAGCCGGGGGGAAGCTGCATGAGGAACTCCGGGGACTGCAGGAGGGGAGGGCAGGAGCAGGAGCGAGGGCGGGTGGGGCTCTTGTCCTTGGTGCGTCCCTGCTGGTCAGCACATGGGCACGTGCTACATCCGTGCTGCAATGCAAGGCTGGGCCCAGAGCAAGGCCACTCACGGTGTGAAGGTCCCACGCCAGAGAGGCGCCCATCTGCAGGCAGGGTGGGGTGGGGGTTGGGGGGCGGTGAGGCAGGGTACAATGCAGGGCCAGCGGCACGGAGAGCGAGGGAGACGGGCCGCAGGGCGAGGGAGGTGGGCGGGCACCTCGGCCTCACCTGCATGTGGTGCCCGGCCAGGGCCCCCTGGGCCCCGCCCTCCGGGATGCCCCGCAGCGCGGATGCCGCCGCGTACGGGTGGCAGCGCAGGTCGTCGGTGTCGGGTGTGTCGCCCGCGCCGCCCTCCTCCTCCCACGGCAGCAGGCTCTCGGGGGCGCCCGCAGACGGCGAGGGCCCCGCCGCCACAAACGACATCGGCCGGCCCAGCTCTGCAGGCGCAGGCGGGAGGGAAGGCACAGGGCGGTCAGCGGGCCGCTCCATCAGGCCATGGGCGGTGCAAGCGGGGGGGTGTGGTGCCGCCGTGCTTGCCTGGCCCCGACGCTCGCCCCACCGCTGCCCCGCCACCCGCACCCACCCTGGCTCATGGGCGACAGCGCGTCGGCAAAGTCCATGTCGCTCATCGTCTTGCCGGTGCCGCAGCTGTAGCTGAAGTCTGAGTCGGACTGGGAGGCTGCGGGGTGGTGTGTGTGGGGGGAGGGGGGAAACAGGTATGGGGGTGAGGCACAGGGATGGTGCTCACAGGTGGGAGGCACTGCCATGGGCATGGTGCCATGCATGCCACAGGCAGGCCGTGGTGTGCCCTGTGCCGGGCTGCCAGCCTCACCGTTGAATGTGTCAGAGTCTGGGGAGATGATGTCTCGCCGGCTCAGCCGCCAGCCGTCCCGGCTGTCCTGAGTGCCGCCGCTGCTGGGGTGCTGCACCGACGGCACGCCCCCGCTGCTGCCGCCCGTGGCCATCGCCAGGGAGGCCGTCTGCGGCGGCACCTGCAGGGGCGTGGGCCGCCACGCATCCAGCGGAGTGACGACCGCCTGCCGCCTGCTGCCGCCGCCGCCGCTGCTGCTGCCGCCGCTGCCGTGGCCCAGCACGGGTGTGGGGGCGCCCTCGCTGCTGCCGCGGGTACTGGGCGTGAGTCCGGCCAGAGCGGCTGCTGCTCCAGGCGTCAGCGCCCCCTCCGAGATGAGGGGGGACAGCGCAGGAGCCCACCTGCCACCCAGGCGGGCCCGCCCCACGGGCGTCCCCTTGACAGCGGTGGCGGGTGGCAAGCCCGGGCCGCCGCCGCCGCCGCGGTGCCGGTTGTGCGGGCGCAGTGGCTGGCCGGGGGTGAACTCAAAGCCGCTGTGATGCCCCTGAGGCATGTCGAAGCTGAATGCGCCAGACCCGGCGGCCGCCGCCGCCTGGATCAGCTGCTGCTCTGCCGCGGCGGCTGCCGCGGCGCCGCCGCCCGCTGCGCGGAGGTGCTGCATGAAGGGCGAGGGCCCCAGGGCCGCTGCTGCCAGCTGCACCGGCACGTCCATGCCGGGGGACTGGCGCGCCGCTGCTGCGGCGGCGGCTTGGGCTGCCGCCGCCGCCTCCGCCTGTGCCTCTGCCTCGGCTGCCGCCGCCGCCACGGCGGGCTGCTGGCGGGCCACCACCTCCAGCACGTGGTGCGCAGTGGGCCGCAGCGCGGGGCTGGGCTGCAGCATGGCTCGCAGCAGCTGCACAAAGGCGGGCGGGCGGTGGGGCACCTCCAGCCGCTCCACATCCTCCGCCGTCCAACCCTCGGAGCGCGGCAGCTTGCGGCCTGCACGGGACGGTCGGCGCAACCACGGCGGTCGGTGGCGAGGCGTGGCGGGGCATTGACACACACAGCCCCGGCAGCCGGCTGCACGCACAGCCCTGTGCGGGCACGCCCGCCGCCGGCATCGCCCAGCCCCTCCCTGCTGGCTCGCGCCCCGCAGCCCCCCCACGCTGCTCCACACCGCACCTGTGGCGCACTCCAGCAACGTGGCTCCCAGGCTGAAGATGTCGGAGGCGGGGGACGGCTCGCCGCCCGCCTGCAGCAGCTCTGGCGCCACATAGTCGCCGTCACCTTCCTCCCAGTCCTGCACGGCGGGGGCGGGGGCGGGCAGGCGCGCCCGGTCAGGCGCCCGCCAAGCGGGGCAGCAAACATGGCGGCAGCCGTGTCCCTGGGCTGCCAGCCAGCCAGCCAGCCAGCGCATGCATGCCCCGCGTTGCCCCCTGCGCTGCGCGCGCACCATGCTGCCGTTGTTTCCACGCGCCACGGCCAGCCCAAAGTCGCCGATGCGCCAGGTGCCTGCGGCCAGGTAGATGTTCTCGGGCTTGACGTCCAGGTGCAGCACGCCGTGGGAGTGCAGGAAGCGGAGGCCGCGCGCCGACTGGCAGGCCGCCGCCCACAGCTGCTCATCCGACATGCACTGCCCGTGCTCGCAGGCCTGCAGGGGCGGAGGGCGGGAGACGGCGGCGGGAGCGAGGGCGGCGCATCAGGCACGCATACATGGACGCCCAGCCGCCAACCAAAACAGCTGTTGTGCTGCAATCTGCCGTGGGCCGGCCGGCTGCCTCACCGAGTGCGCCCTCTGCGCCAGGCTGCCACCCTCGCAGTAGTCCATCTGTATGTAGAAGTGGCCGCCCTCCTGCCACGCACGGTACTGGTTCTGCGGGGGGTGCAGGGATGCATGTGGCGGCTGGTTAGTGTCACGCGGAGGCGAGTGGCAGCATGTGCTTTCCCAGGCGAAGTCCCAGTCAGCCCAAAGGCCGTACCAGCAAAGGGGCGGCATGACTCACCACAATGTTGGGGTGTGAGGGCAGCGCCGCCACGGCGCGTATCTCGCGCAGGCACCGCTCCCGCTGCAGCTTGGAGCGGAAGCGGCGGCGCGAGCGCTTGACCGCAAACACGTCGCCGCTGCCGCGGTGGCGCACGCGGAACACCTCGCTCAGATGTGTCTTGCCCACCAGCTGCCAGGGTGTGTCGAAGTGCTGGTGGTACTGGAACAGGCTGGGGTCCATGGCCGACTCGGTGCGGTGCATTTCGCTCACAAGCAGCACCTGCGGGCGGGCGGCGCAGCAGGCGTGTTAGACGGCACAAGTTGCGGCGCAAGCAGGGTGCAGGAGCACGATGCGGCAGCTGGCAGCGGCGGTACCCCGGCGGCTGTGGTGGCAGCACTGTGAGCCAGTGTCCGGAAAGCAGTGGGATCAGGCCTGGCAGGGGTGCCAGCGGCCTCTGTGACTGCCCGCTGAGTCGGCGGGTGGGCGGTTGTTAGAGGGTAGCTGGCGGCGACGGCAGGGTTACCCACCTTGGCGTCCCTGAGGCTGTTGGTCCGGAAGTAGGCTTTGGCAGCCCTGCTCTTGGTTTTGCGGGCGCTGGGCGAGGAGGGGAGGCTGCCCGGGGGCCGCGGGGGTGAGCGCGGCGTCTCGTCATCGCTCCACTCCCCCAGCACGCCCGGCTCGTCGGGAGGCGGGTAGTCGGGCGGCCGCCAGTCGGGTATGGTGAGCGGCGGGAGCATGGCTGTTTGCGTGTTTGATCGCTTCCGTGGGCCGCGGGCTGTCGCACCTGAAGCGCGCTGCACACCGTCCATAAACGTCAAACGAGGTGATCGAGAGCTGCCTGGAGTGTCGGGCCTTCGGGACTTGTGGGCAGCCGGGCGCAGCTGGCGAAGCACGCACGCCAGGTTGCGCTAGGTGCCAGCAGAACGGGCAAAGCTACGGCGCGGAGCGACAAGGGAGGGATAGGCTGCTCGCCTAGCAGTGTACCGAGCGGAGGAGGGTGGCCGGCACAGACTCCCGCCCGCCCACCCGCTCACCAAGGCTACACGGAGATGAACAAGCTGAATGTAACATGACAATGCGCTACTATTTGATGTGAGGGTCGTGCAGAACGAGCAAGCACCACCCAGTTCACTCTTCAGCCGCTTGCTGCGCCGCCTCCCGGGCAGGCTGACCTTCTCAATTTTCTTCTGGGCTCAGGGCCCCAACTGCAGCGATTGACGAGAAACCCACATATCCAAGCACCACGAGGACGGGTTGCTAGGTGCCACCTGCTGCCGATCTGCAGATCCCCACTGCCAATCCCACCGCACAGAACCGCCGCTGACGTGGCACCAAAGTTGAAATAAGCAGACGCTCAGATTTAGGCAATCCGAACTGGGCGGAGTGTGCGACAGAATGGATGTGCCGAGGGCGACGGAGCTGGTGGGAGACAGCCAAGAGGGCGGTGGGCCCCTTGCCGCCCTGGCTGCCGCAATGGGGAGCCCCACGCAGCGGGAGACTGCTCCAGGACACGATCAAGACGTGGATCAGGGACAGGCGGCGCCCGCGGGGCTCGGCCTCCCGCCTGGCGACGAGGCGGCGCCCGGCGGTGCACCAGCAGCAGCCGCACCGCCGTTGCAGCCAGCTGCGCAGGCGTTTGCCAGCCTGTGCACCTGCCTGGGCGCAGCACCGCACCCAGATCTGGTGCGCAGCCTGAATTCCCTTTCCGCCGAGGCATTTACAGAGCTGACGCCTGGCCGGCGACCCGGGAAAGGTGCGGCACCCGAGCGCAGCCTGCGTGCACTTTGCAGGGGCCTGGATGTGTGATTGCGACGTGATGCCTTGCGCCTGCCGCCGTCACTGCTGCCTTCCTCTTCAGCTGGGTCACCCAGACCTCCCGGCAGCGCCACGCCACGCCGTCACCGCATGCTCCCCGCCCACACAACATCTCACCGCAGGCGGCGCCGTGCTGAAGCTGCCACCAGACGCCCAGCCCCCACACATCCAGGCGCTGCTGGCCTTGGTGACGATGTGCCCTGGGGATGCGGAGGACAGCGCAGGCCTGCCGCCTGACACTTACCTGCGCACTGTGCACCTTGACCTGTCTGGCCACGCCCTGGCCATCGAGCAGCTGCGGGAGCTGCTGCTGCTGGCCCCTCACCGGCTGAAGCAGTGCCACATGCTGGAGAGCCTGGTGCTGGAGGGGTGCCACCTGGCAGCAGGTGCGGGCATGCACGGGCGGTGGTGGTCAGGGTGGGGCCTGTTGCGGCAGGGTCGCACTCAAGTCTCCCTGCAGCCATGGCTGATTCACCTGCTGCCTGCCAATGCCTCCACTTTACGCTGCTGCATGCTGCTTGCTGCCGCCATCCTGCCTGGCCTGCCACAGATGCCCTGCAGCTGCTGCGGGACTGGAGGGCGCTCAAGGCAATTGAGCGCTTGCAGCGGCTGGTGCTGGCTGGCAACCCGCTGCTGGGCCGCATGCAGCAGCAGCAGGAGCAGCAGGAGCAGCAGCAGCAGCAGCCGCAAGCGGGGAGCCATGGCGTGGCAGGTGGTGCAGCAGAGCCAGGGGCGCCTGGGGCGGGCGTGACATCGGCAGGGGCAGGGTTTCTGGGGCCGGAGCACCTGTACTGGCTGGAGACGCGGCTGTTCCAGGCGGCGCCGCTGCGGCTGCTGGACTTGCGGCACACAGGTGGGGCTGGGCGGGCACAGTGGTGCTCTGTGCGCTATGCAGCTGCCGCGCCAGCCCAGGCCTGGTGCTGGGCAGGAAGGCTGTCCGCGCCTCCTTTGCAGCCGGCAGCTGATCTCCACATTGTGCGTGCATGACCTGTCCCGCCCCGCAGGATTCAGCGACGCCTCCCTCGCCTACCTGCTGCACAAGCTGGCCACCTACCCGCTGCCGCCCGATGTGGGCGAGCCCAATGCCTGGGCCCACGCGCACGGCGGCTGCCGCACCACCCTGGAATGCCTCAAGCTGGGGCCCCCAGCGGACCAGCAGCACTTCAGCGGGCAGGCAGGCAAGCAGTGTACAGGGCCATGTATGCACGGGCACCTTGGAGCACACTGCAACCTACAGAGGTGGCCAAGCCGACCCCCCCTGCTCCTGCCCATAGCCCCTTACAAAGCTTAGCCTGTTCCCTGGCCTCCTGATTGCACCCCTCCTCCCTCCCTCCCTCCCTGTCGTGCAGCTGACTGCGTAGCGAGGCTGCTGGAGGGTGCGCCACAGCTGCGGGTTGTGGAGGTGCTGGGGCTGGCGCCAGAGGCTTGTCCGCCCCTGCAGCTGGCCTGGCAGCAGGCGCAGCAGCGCCAGGGGCGGTACGGGTATGTGACGCATGGGGCGGATGGCGCGCTGCGACTGACGCTGACTGAAGGGTGAGCGGCCATGGGGCTGCGCCGCTGCATCTTGCTGCAGACGATTGCACTGTGATGCTTGCAGCAGCCTGTGCCTTGGTGTCTGCCTGACTCGGCTGCGGTGAGGCATATGACAATGATCAGTGAGTGGCGGCTCGTCAGCTTACCGTCTGCCCCCCACGTCCTGCCTGCAGTGGCAGCGAGGTGGCGGCAGAGCGGCCGCCCAGCCAGCACCAGCCGCTGCAGCCGCCCACTCCCGAGAAGTGTGCTCAGCCGCAAGAGGAGCCGCTGCCAACCATCGAGCTGCCTAGCTTCTTCCAGCCTGGGGAGCAGCCTGGGGAGGCGCACCAGCGGGCGCAGCAGGGCCGCCCGCAGCACCCGCACCCTCCACCGCGGCACCAGCACCAGCAGCGGATGACCAACTTTGTGGAGCAGCGCCCGGCTGGGCTGGGCCCGGCGCAGCAGAGGCAGCAGCCGCCGCGGGCGCCGGGCGTCGCGCCAAGGCGCCCGCTGCCTGCTGGCGGGCCCGGCCCTTTGGCCACCTTTCGGGAAGCGAGCCCTGGTGTGGCGGCTGCGTCTGATGGGCCAGTCTATGGCAGGCCTGCCCGGCAGCGTAGCGGCAGCGTGCCAGCAGCAGTACGCGGAGCGGCGCCAGCAGCAGCGAGAGGGGGACAGCCGGGCGGCAGCCGGGCGGCAGCCAGGGCAGCAGGGCAGCCGCGGCGGCGGCGCCAGGGTGGCGGCGGCGGTGGCGCCCGCCACACCGATCGGCTGTACACTGGCGGCGCTGCAGAGGATATGCTGCCGCTGTGGGAGGACGATGTGGGGGAAGGTGAGGGGGGCAGCCAGGTGCGGGCTGTGTCCGGCGCCTGGCTCATGCCTGATACCTCACACGCAACTTGCAACCTCGGTTGCCTCATGCTGTGTGTGGCTGCCACTCCTTGTGGGCCCCCACGCTGCTGCCGCAGACGAGGACGACCATGTTGTTGAGGAGGAGGAGGAGAATGAGGGGGAGGAGGAGGCGGGGGAGCATGGGGGCATGGTGGATGCCAGCGAGGAGCAGGACCCCCACATGTGAGAAGCACCCCTGGCCCCTTGCTGCTGCCCGCAGCCTTGCCTTGCACTCTGCCCGCAGCCCTGGCTCGCGCGCCGCTGCTGGGAGGGGACAGGCAGAGGCTGGGGTGGCTTGCTGCCCCGCTTTGATTCCATGGTTGAGCCGCTGCTCCCCGGTGCGGCTGCAGCCTGTATGATGGGGACGCCAACGACTCCGACGATGCCGCCAAGAACTACCAGCGGGAGATCAAGGGGCTCCTCATGTAGGGCAGGCCCCCCCCCTTGTCCTTCTCAAAGGGACTGCACGCGCTGCACCTGTGCTGCGTGCATTCAGCGTGACGCCACCCCCGGCCGCATGTGGGCAGCCAGCAGTCCGCGTGTTTGCCTCACGCCGCTGCCTCTTCGCCGCCGCAGAACGCTGAGGGAGATGGACAGGAAGGCGTTCAAGCGGGCAGTCAAGATGAAGCACCTGTGGGACAATGTGGACTACCCGTATGACAGGTGGGGCGTGAGGTGACAGCGGCGAGGTGTGGGGCGGAGTGTAGTGGTGATGGGGGTTGGGTCAGGCATGCTCGGCTGATGGGGCGCTAACTGGCGGCCGGTGTGTGTGTGTGTGCGTGTGTGTGTGTGTGCGTGTGTGTGTGTGTGCGTGTGTGTGTGCGTGTGCAGGAAGCGCTGGGAGAATCCCTCCAAGACGCGGCCCGACATGATGCAGGAGCTGAGCTGCCTGCAGGAGCTGCGGGAGGTGGGTGGGCAGCTGCTGCCTGCGCTGTCCAGCCCGCAGCACCGTGCCTGGCGGCGCCGCTCCTGCCACCGCCTGCCCCTCCCTCACCATGTGGCACCCTCTGCCCTCCTCGCCACTCTCTGTGCTGCCAGATTCTGGAGGCGCACGGCCTGCGGTACAGCTTCCCCTTCCCCAAGGCCCAGCAGAAGCAGGTGTTGGCCTGGCGCAAGGAGCAGAAGGAGCAGGAGGAGGCGGCGGAGGCGGCGCAAGCAGCTCGGGAGCGCCGGCAGCAGCAGCAGGAGCAGCAGCAGCAGCAGGGGGAGCAGGCGGTGCGGCCGCACAAGAAGCTGCGCAAGGCAGCAGAGCTGGAGCGGGAGGAGATGGAAGACGGCGACAGCGACGGCGGTGGCGCCGCGGTACTCCCCGCAGGCACCCAGCGCCACAACAAGCGCAAGCAGCAGGTGGTGATGGAAGACAGCGACAGCGACAGCGAGGAGGCGGAGGGGGAGGCGGATGGCGGCGGCGCTGGAGGTGGCGGGGCGCAGCCTGAGCGCGCACCTGCGCCAGACTCTCCGCACCACGGCAAGAAGCCGCGGCAGGAGCAGCCGCAGCAGGAGGAGGAGCAGCGAGCGCCGGAGCAGCCGCAGGAGGAGCTGCAGCAAGCGCAGGAAGAGCCGCAGGGACACCAGCAGCCGCCGGAGCAGCAGGGGCAGCCAGGGGATTTGCCGCTGGGGCAGTCGTCGGACTTGCAGCAGGCTTGTGGGCTTGATGGCGACGGCGGAGAATTGCCCATCCTGCCGGTGGGCATGCCAGAGAGCCGCAGCAGGGCGCCACCCCCACCGTCCTTGGAAATGCGCAGCCTGGCGGCGGCAGCGGCAGCAGAGGCGGAAGCCGCGGTGGCGGCAGCTGTGCAGCAGCTTGCGCTGGCGGATGGAGGTGGCCACCAGGCGGCGGCGGCAGCGGGAGCCCGCACAGATGCTGGTGTGGGCGCTGCCGGGCAGGTGCAGCAGCCTGGCTACCCTGCGCTGCTGCCACAGGAGCAGGAGGTGCCGCAGCAGCAGCAGCAGGGTGGGGAGGGGCAGCAGGCGCAGGCTCTGGAGCTGAGTGGCGGCGAGGATGAGGATGAGGAGTTTCCGCTCATCATCTCTGACACGTGAGGATGGGGTGCGGCAGGGAGCAGCCGCCTGGGCATTGGCTGCGCTTGTGGGCTGGCGCTCAGCTCCCCTTTGGGGCAGCCGCCGGCAGCAGCTGTGTGTTTTGAGGGCTTCCTCGCTTGCTGGGTGCAGGGAAGACGAGGACTGAGGCAGGGTGGGGCTGAGATGAGAGTAACAGCCACACCATGCCTTTGCATGCTTGACGGTGCAATCCAGGTGCCATTCCCTCCCTTCCAAACCACATTGCCCTGATGCTGGCAAGCCGTGCGCTCACAGCCGGGATACTTGCAAAATGCTGTAAGAGTGAATGAAGGTGGTGCGCATGCGGCGGGCACTCAATGCCCCGGCAGCGAGTCGGCGGCTGCGGTGTGGTGGCAGTGCGTGTGCTGGTTCATGCTCAGCATCAGGGCAAGGTGCAGGACCGCTCCGTAACCCACCAGCAGCCAGGTGCGCAGCGACACCACGCCAGCGCCGCCGCCGCCGCCCGCGACCCCCCGCTTCCCTCCCAGCCTGCGCGCCGAGGCGCTGGTGCTCAGCGGCAGGCGCCGCAGCATCTCCAGATCCAGGCCGCCGCTGCCGCCGCCCGCCTCTGCGTCCCCAGCCTGCTGCTGCTGCTGCTGCTGCTGCTGCCTGGAGCCAATGCCGAGCGAGGTGAGCACATCGCTGGTGCCGGGCGCGCCGAAGCGGGCGGAGCGGCTGGCGGCGGCGGCGGCGGCGCCCCGCGGGGCCTGGGACTGGCCGGCCGACCGCAGAGCCTCCAGCTCGCGCTCCAGCCGCTCCGCCCTGCCACGCGCGTCGGCGGCCTCGCTCATCGCCGCCTGCGCCGCCTGCCGCGCGTCTGCCGCCGCCAGCCGCTCGCCGACCTGCACGGCCTGCAGGCTGGCCGCCGCCACCTCGGCCTGCCGCTCCGCCGCCGCCAGCCGCGCCTCCAGCGCCACTTCGCGCTCGCCGTGCGCCGCCTGCGCCTGCTGCAGCGCCTCGGCTGCCGCCGCTGCCGCCGCCTCGGCCTGCCCTCGGCCGGCCGCCGCCGCCTCTGCCGCCGCCGCAGCTTCCGCCGCCGCCTGCCTGAGCGCCGCTGCCTGCGTGGCGGCGGCATCCAGCCTGCGGGCCAGCGCCTCTACCTGCTGCTGCGCCTCTGCCGCCACCAGCGCCGAGCCCTGCGCCTCGGCGGCACACCTGCGCAGCTCTCCCTCCCTCGCCTCCACCCGCCCCTGCGCCTCCACCAGCTGCTGGCGAAACGCGCCGGCGGCCTGCTCCGCATCATCCAGCCTGCGGCAGCCAGCAGCCGGCAGGCCACTCAGGCCAGCCACAGGCACAGGCAACGCACAAGCGCAGGCACCAGGTGCGTGGGGTGGCGCCAGCCGCCGAGTCATGTGGCAGCCTCACCCCGGCCCGGCAGACCAGCCAGCAGCCCCCCTCCCTCACACCTGGCCTGCAGCGCGTCTCGCTCCGCCTCCAGCTCAGCCTGGATCTTGCCCACCGCCGCCTGCACCGCCGCCTGGAAGCGCTTGGCTCGCGCCTCGCCCTCCGCCTTCAGAGCCTCGCTGCAGGGCGGGCAGGCAGCAGAGGCCGTGCAGGAACAGCAAGTAAGGGAACAGCCCCGAGGGGGCGGTCTTGCACCGGCAGCCCGACACAGGCAGCGGGCGACGAGCTGGGCTGCAGCAGCGGCAGCGTCATGCCGCGGCAGGCCACAGCGCGGGGCGCCCCGCAGCGCACGCACGCACGCACACGCACCTGAGCCCCTGCGCCTCTGCCCGCTGCTGGCGCTCCGCCTCTGCCACCGACGCCGCCGTGGATGCGGCCAGCTCGGCCTGCCGCCGCTCCCGCTCCGCCTCCTGCCGCGCCCGCTCAGCAGCCTCTTTGCCCTCCGCCGCCGCCGCCGCACGCCCCTCCGCCGCCGCTTCCCGCTCCCTTGCTGCCTCCACCTCTGCCTGCAGGCAGTTGCAGGCAAGCGAGCAGAGCAGGGTGGGTGCCTGGGCAAGGCACGCGTGGCCGCACAGCGCAAGGCGCCCCCGCTTCGTCCCCGCTCTGCCCCACCACAAGCAACCACAATCACGCCAGCAAGCCCACCTGCATCGCCTCTATTTTGAGCTGCAGCGCCTCGCGCTCTGCGGCCCCCAGCGCCCGCGCATCCTCCTGCCTGCGCCCCAGCGCTGCGCGCGCCTCCGCCAGCTCAGCCGACAGCTGCGCCGCCTGCTGCGCCGCCGCCCGCTCCGCCGCCGCCGCCCTGTCTGCCGCCGCCTTGCCCTCCTCCCGTGCCTTGATGCTGGCATCCAGCTGCTTCTGCAGCTTGCGCTTGGCCGCCTCCGCCTCCTTGCTGCTCGCCTGCGCCGCCTTGAGGCCTGCTGCCGCCTCCTGCCTGGCTGCCTGCGCCTCACGTACCGCACCTCGCAACTCGTCCCGCTCTGCCACCAGGCGGTGCAGCTGCCGCTCGCGGCCCTCCGCTTCTGCCTGCATGCGCCGCAGGCGGCCCTCCAGGGCTGCCAGCAGCCGCTGCTGCTCCCGTGCCGCCACGACAGCACCTGCTGCTGCTGTCGCTGCGCTGGTGGCGGTGGTGCTGCCGGGCAGCGCATCTGTGCTGCCGCCAGGCCCCGCGTCTCCCTCTTTTGCTGCTGCCTCTGCGCCACCCGCTTCTCCCCCGTCTCCCGCTGCGCCATCTGCTGCTGCCTCTGGCGCTGCCGTGGTGGCAGCTTCTTCTCGCTCGCCTGCCGGGCTGCTGCCGCCTGGCTCCGCTGCCAGCTGCTTCAGCTGAGCCAGCAGCTCCTCGGCACCCTCCTCAGCGCCCTCAGACTCCTCCCTGCCACGGCGCATAGCGGCGGTGTTGCTGCAGTTGGCGAGCGCCCCATTTCCAGCTACTAGCACAGGCTGCATAGCAACTGCCATTGGCTTGGGAGCAGCAGCAGCCTGCAACTCACTCTGATTCAGCGCCGACGCTGCCGCCGTTTCGAATGCCCAGCGAAAGGATGCCGCTGCCCCACCCCCGGGACATGCTCGATGCATCCGTTGCATCGCCATCGTGTTCCTCCTGGGACCACACACCGCAGCAAGTCGTGGCATCAGCTGCAGGAGCAGGTCTGCACCCACTACCCTCCTGCTGCCAGCCAGCGCCCCGGCAACACCGACAACTGCCGACCGGCGCACCTGGTCGTCGCGCCCCTTCCCTACGCCCCGTCTTCGCTGCAGCGCGGGGCCCACTCGCTGCTTGGCAATGTTGCTGGCCTGCCGGCCCTGCAAGTGCTCAGACACAAAACAGGTTGGGCAGGTTCAGTGAGGCAGGCGCTCTGCACGGGGGGGAAGGAGGAGAGAGCTTGAAAGTGCCTGTAGCGATGGCCGCAGCTCACCATCTCCCTTGCTTCGCTGAGAGCTTGAGCCCTGAATTCTTTGCTCGCGTCTGCGAGCGCAGCAAGCGCCCTCATGTCCACAGATCACGGCCAAGGAGGGGAAACACTGAAAAGATAGCGGTGGTGCGTCCATGGAGCTGGCAGCAATGGGGCTGACTGCACCTGCCCACGTGGCGCCTGCCGCGGTATCGTATGCTCAGTTTGTGCATAAATAAATGCTTGCATTACGTGTTGTTACAGTACTGGCCACAGCCTTGCAGTATTAGCAAAAGGGAAACCGAGCTGTAAGTGAAAGACAGGCGCAGGAGGACGGCTCAGCCGCCCGCTGCGGTCATGGCGGGGGGCCTGGCTGAGGAACACAAGAGTGAAGGCTCACGCCACGAGCCCCTTGTCTGCCGCAATCTGCTCAAGGCTCTTGGTGGTTTCCGCCGCGTGCTCCGCCGCCAGCCTGGCATAGTGGTTGGCAGACTCTGGCAGGAACTTGCCCTCCTCGGGCTTCAGCTTGCGCAGGAACACCGCCGGGTTGCCTGCCAGCACGGGATTGAGGCCAGGCCAGGGCCAGGCAGGGGGGCCGTGAGCAAGCAATTGCAGCGGCTGAGCAGCAGGCCGCAACGGCATGCTGGGGTTGCCGGCAGGTAAGCAGCTGTTCAGCCCGGCCCCTGCCCACCTCCCCAGATCTCCCCAGCCTTGACGACGGTGCCTGGTGCCACCACAGCTCCGGCCGCCACCATGGCTCCGTCCTCCACCTGCATCACAGGCCAGGAGCAGAGAGGCAGACAGTGCGATGAGAAGAACGAATGGGACCCCACAGCACCCTGCAACAAGCAACCAGCGGGTGCTGCCACTCGTGGCGGTTGCACAACTGTCCGGCTGCTGCATGGTGAGCTGCCAGGCGTCTACTCCATCCCCCCCCCCGCCGCCTGCAACACCCCGCCGCCCGGCAACTCCCCCAGCAGCCCCCCAGCAGGCCGCACCGAGCAGCCCTCCAGCAGCGTGGAGTTCATGCCAATCAGCGCGCGGTCACCCACGGTGCAGCCGTGCAAGCTGGCCTGGTGCCCTATCGTCACCATGCGGCCAATCGTGGTGTCTGCCGAGTGGCCCGACAGGAAGGCGCTGGCAGTGCGGATGACGCACCCGTCCTGCACGTTGCTCTTGTCGCCAATGGAGATGCTGCCGCTGTCGGCTGCAGGCAGTGGACATGTGTTCCTGGAGGAGTGGGTGGACATGCAACTGCACGCCCTGCAAGGCAAGCGATAGCTGGCTCGTGTGAACAGCGGCTGCGCGGCCCCCACCGCCTGCCGCCGCCTCACCCCTGATGACGCTGCCGTAGAACACGGAGGCATTGTCCCCCAGCTTCACATCGCCGATGACTGCTGCGCTGGGCGCCACAAACACGTCAAGCCCCAGGCTGGGGCTCTTGCCGCCGAGCGGAGCCAGCGAGCGGTGCCGGCTCACTGCACGAAGGCAGGCGGCCTGGCGGTCAGTGGGAGATCTGGCAGCAGCTGAAACAAGGCAGGGTTGCGCCACTAGACTCACGTTCCTCCCTGAAAGCGAATGAGCCCTGCAAGGTAGCGCCTGCACGGTCCAGCGCCAGGCCCGTCTCCCTCAACGCCTTGCCCACGGCGTGCAGCACGCGAGACATGGCCGCAAAACCGTGCCCCGCGGGTTGCAGCCCGGTCCCAGTGCTGGGGTGCCCGCCTGCGACCCTGTAAAGGCTAGGGAACGACCCGCACTGTTGGCGATTACCGATCAGCCGCGATGGGGCTGCATGGAGAGGTCACAGGATGGCCAGGTGGCGCCGCCAGCACGGCGGGCAGCGGGACAAGAGCACGTGTTGGGGCACAGCTTTCAGGGTGCTCCTTGTATTTTGCATTCTGCACATCCACGTGCAGATTACAGTGCTGGCTGTTGGGCACCAGGCACTGCCTGCCCGTCATCTGGAGGGCCTCAGGTTCCACTCGCCCTCCAGCGAGTGCCTGAGCGTGCCGCCGTGCTCGGGCCCCTCTGGCTCCGGCAGCTCCAGGCGGAAGGAGTACAGGTAGCCCTCCCCTGTGGCCACCGCCAGCCGCGTCTCCGCAACAGCGCCGCCGGCGACGCCCAGCCCGGGGCTGGCATCGTCGCCGCCGTCCTGCCCCACCACCTCCTGCACCACCGCGCAGATGGCGCCCTGCCCCTTGGCTGGCAGCCTGACCGTGGCCAGCGGGCGCTGCGGCTCCATCACGCCAGGCATCACAGCCGACAGCAGCGACTGCGCCGCCTTGGCAGCCGGGTGCCTGCAGCCGTGGCGCAGAAGGCAGGCAGCAACGATGGGTGACACGTTGTGTGTACCGGCGTAGGGCCGCATCTGGGCGCTAGTGTGTCGCCGGCTGGCCCACCCTGACCACGTGCTGACACACAGCACAGCCTGCGATGGTGTGCTGCAGGCGCATGCTGCCAGGCGGTGTGCACCTGCCGTGAGGGTGCAGCTTGAAGATGTGGATGGTGCCGTGGTCGGACGCGGCGCACAGCAGGCGTGGCTGGACGGCGGAAGGTGAGAATGCGAGGCAGGTGATGTTGGCTGCGGTGCTGCCTCGCCGGAACTCCAGCGCCTTGTCCTCGCTGCTGCGCCGCACCTGCGCACAGCCCAGCGTGGAGGGGCAGCAAGCAGGCTGACGGGCTAGGGGCAGTCGGCGGGCCATGGCTGGGTGGCAGCCCTCGTTAGGTCCCTCCTGGCGCAGCCCCAGAACAACAGCTTGCGGCCGCGCAGCAAGCATCAAGGACGGTCGGGCGGCTGCGTGGGTGGGGCCGCCTGCGCTCACCCCGTGCACCCGCACCACGGTGCCTTTCTTGGAGGCTGTGGCCAGCAGCACCCCCTCCTCATCCCACGCCATCACGCTCACGGGCGACCTATGCGCCTCCAGCTCGCACAGCACATCCACGCCGCCGCCGCCGCCGCTCCTGGCCGCATCGTACACCCGCACCGCGCCGCCCTCCGCCGGCAGCGCCAGCAGGCAGGCGGGGTCGGAGCAGACGGTGAGAGCCGCCAGGCCGCGCGGGTTGGACGGCGTGTCCAGCGTGCCGAGCACCTGCAGGCATGGCGTGGCAGGAGTTGGCAAGCGGGGCGGGCCAGGGCAGGCAGCGCAGCGGGTGGATGTGCAGAAGCAATCAGGGAGGGGCTATAAGTTCGGTCCTGGGTGGGGTGGCATGCCAGATGGCTGCACCCGGTGCATACACAAGGCCTGGGGCAGCACCTGCAGGCTCTCCAGGTCATACACAAAGGCGCGCCGCTCGAGAACTGCCAATAGTCTGCGTGGCAGTAGCAGCAGGAGGAAGTGATGTGAGGCAAGCGCAGGTGGTGGGCACTCACACGCGCACAGCCAGGAGGCCTGCCCTGCTGCCCCACTCACCGCTTGCGGTTCAGCTGCACCCCCAGCACGGTGGAGGGGAAGGAGAGGTTTTGGATGATGGCGTTGGAGTGGGTGTTGAGCAGGCTCAGCTTGCGCGGCGTCAGGTGCGGCTGCTCCCCCGCGCCCACGAACGCCAGCAGGCTGGTGCAGAAGAGCATGCGCGCGATGCTGCAGGTAGGTAGCACACGCATAGGAGTTGCTTGGGATTAATAAGCTGTGCCAAGCCAGGCGCGCAATACATGGAGGCGCGTCTGCACGCTTCTTGCGGCGCACCTAATGGCGCCCAGCGGCAGGTCCAGGCACATCACATGGGAGTTCAGGTTCCATATGCGGATGCCGCGGAAGTCAGCAATCGACACGCAGCTGCGCAGAGAGAGCGGAAGGGACAGAGCGGCAGGACGGACGGTGGGTGAGCGCCGCCGCTCCCGGCAGGTAAACCTCTCGGTCACCCCAACGCCTTTGCGGCCCATCAGGCGCACCTGGCGTCCTGGTTGAAGGCCACAAAAAAAGTGCCGGGTGCGCCCCAGTCCACTTTCAGGTGCGCCATGGCCGATCGCTAGTCGGGACGGCAAGCCTAACACAGTTTTCAGCAAGGGACCCTGGCACGCAATGGAGAATGGGTAACCCGCTGCCGATCAGGCGCTAACGGAGGAGAAAGGACTTTTGCTCGCCACGTTCCATGCGTTGCATGGCTTGCAGGCCGTGTCTGGATTGCTCCATTCGACTCTCGTCACACATTGCATCGAATGAGATGAGCGGTGGGACTGCTCGGCACGCACACGAACACGTAGTTTTGTTGAAATTCTCACATCTTGAGCCAACCAGCGTTTTGAATATCGGCATGCATGCAGCAACCGGCCTGCAGCCTGTGGGGAAGCCCACAGCATGGCGGAGCCGCACG